AGAGCCACAATGTTGTTGAACAACACTAATCTAGCAACAGGAACAAGCTTATAAATAAACAGGATGAAGATACATGTGGAAAGTATAAAATAAAGCACACCACGCTGTTCTCTGCCTCCCACGTGCTGTGATTTAAAAAGTGTACTTTTTAAAAATATGTATTTTATAATTATTTTTTTTATGTGCACTGGTGTTTTGTGTTTTGCCTGCATGTATGTCTGTGGGAGGGACGGGGCTACAGACAGATGATTGTCATAAAGGCAAACTTCTCAAGTCTTCTCTTCACCTAGCAGGTGGGAAAGCAGGAGCCTGCCTCACTTAGCTAGTACCGCTGAAGCCCAGGATTCTGAATCCACACTGCGCATGCTTCTCACTGCACATGGCCCTCAACTCTCAGGCTCTGTCTTAAATTTAGGAATAGGCTGGAGGGTGACAGAAAGGAAAAGATAAGGGGCATTCACATGCACCCTCTAGTATGAAGAATACAGTCTGATAAATTACAAAGCCCACCACTGTCACTGCTGCTATCAGAGGACTCCTCTTCCTCCGCCTCTTCCTCCTCAGATTCAGAGTAAAATTTCTTAGCAGGTTTTTCTTTCTTGGATTTTCCAACTGGGGTCCATTCTTTTGCCTATTTATATAAACAAAATAAACATTAATAAATTCCTACTAAGCGATTCAGACTCCTGGAAAATGTAATTGTTTAAGTTCATTGTGAACACTGAAGAAAGTTTGAGACTTCAACAGAGAAACCAACTGTTACAAGTCCCAACAGCAAAGCTATCCACTTTTAAACACAGAACATAAACTCTCATTCATAACCCACTGTTAAATCACTCTTTATGTTTCCAGAATATTTAACAAATGTTTGTGTTTGTTGGTCCATAGAGAATGTAACCTACAGTAACAACAATAATATATGTAAATAGCTTGGCACTTAAAGAGACAAAAGAGGCAAACTATAGTGAATGTAGGCAAGGAAATGAACATCATCTTTCTGCACTAAACCCTGCCTTTTCTCTCTCAAAGCCTCAGCATCTAACCCATGGAGTAATGCTGTTCCATCCTGGTTTGGGTAACTATATCTCCTCAATTACTACAACAGGTTCCTAACTGGTTTACCTTGCTTCTCCTTTACATTGAACCCAGCCAAAGCTTGCTAAACAGAGCAGCTAGACTTGGGTCCAGCTAATCTCTGGATTCAAACTTTGGTAGCTCTCAATTTGACTCAGATAAATAGGGCAAGTCTACAACAGTCTGTCTGGCCAGACTCAACAAGCTATTCCCACTCACTTCCTCTTCCTTTTGCATACTCCACTCCAGCCAATTCTTACTGTTCCTCCAAAGACTCCTAGACCTGCTCTGTCTGAGGTCCTTGCAGAAACTATTCTGTCTCAGCACAACCCCAACTCCTTTAAAAATAGTACTAGCTGCCTTCTAATATGCTATGTGACTTACCTGTCTTTTTCTTCCCAGGGTAGAGATTTCTAACCTTGCACATTGAAGCATCCTAAGTGTGCCTATCACAGTATTAGTTATACCTATTACACCCTTAAGGTTTTCAATTTTATGCTCAGGAAATATTTGTTTGCATTTAAGTAAATTATATTCTTTGGTGTTCACTAAACACAGCATTAGAAGAAGTCTTTACTATACACCTGTTCCAACAGTGACCTTGATTCATCTTGGAAAAACTGCGTTTCATACTGTCTCTTCTAAAAAGCAGGAAAATGTAGATTTCTTAAAAGGTCAAAATGGTTTTTTTTTTCTTTTTTTAAAGATTTATTTATTTATTACATACAGTGTGCTGCCTGTATGTATGCTGCAGGCCAGAAGAGGATATCAGGTCTCACTACAGATGTGTGTGAGCCACCATGGGGTTGCTGGGAATTGAACTCAGGACCTTTGGACGAGCAGTCAGTGCTCTTAACTGTTGAGCCATCTCTCCAGCCCAAAAGGTCAAAATGGTTAAGACTCATTTATTACACTTAATTAAATTTTCATTGTGTGACAGTCTGGAGAGAGAGAGAGAGAGAGAGAGAGAGAGAGAGAGAGAGAGAGAGAGAGAGAGAAAGAGAGAGTTGTAAAGGAATTTACAGCATGACACAGGTTCTAATCCAAGGATTGTTCTCAACACTAAAGTCTCCTTACAATTTTCTGAGAATTTTTAAAACACTAATACAAATAACAAAAAATGTTAAAGCTCAAAAGCCCCAACTGCCCAAGAGGAGCTTCAGTAGCCTGAAAAATTATTACCTGGAAAATGACAAGAAAACTAATAAAAATTATTTGAATATATGACTTTCTATTTTCATGTAGTTTCAGATATCTAAGGGCCAAAGCCTAGGACCATTTAATTGACTGTGGTGCGACAGCTGTAACACGGCAAGCAAGAACAGAGGAGAGAAGAGAAGAGATGGAGGGAAAGGCATAAAAGCTAAGATCCTCTACATGGACTGTTGCCTGTGTGTTTACAAAGCAAAATGTCCTTGATATGCAAAAGACAGTCTTTGCGGTTACTGGAAAAAAAGGATTTTCTGTAACTAAACAAAAAACTCAAAAGGAGCCACAAAACTTACTGGTACCTTAATATAAATATACATTATATCTGATACCCTGGAAATGGTGGTGTGTAATTCAAAGTGACTTCTAGTGTCAACCTGACTAGGCTCCCTGTTGTTTTGATTAAAATGTCAGATTATCTAAGCCTCAGCCATTTTTCTTCCTAAGTTATATTTCATAATAATGAGATTTGACCTTAGAGGATCACTAGATAGTAAACTCAGACTAATACAGTGTATCATGTGCACAAAATGCATTCTAAGACTTCAGGGGGAGGAGGGGCACAGTGCGAGGCAGAAAGGGTAATCTGGACAATACTTTCTGCAGTTATTGATGCATTTCAAAACAGAAATAGTTATATTATGATTATATTTCATTGTATCCTTTTTGGAACATTTTAAGCCACTATCTCAGAGACCAGTAGAATGAATCTGTTTATTATATGGCTTAAATGGACACAGTAATCTGGTTCCATCAGCTATAATTATTCTCCATAAGTTATTAATTAATTTCAGTAATAAAGTTAACAAAATGAAAAAAAAATCAATTTGTCTCTGTTGAATTGGACAACTGACATTAACAAAACGGGTTGCTTGGCCATTGTCCTTATAAGAGAGACATACATGGTCCCCCAGAGAAGGGGAAAAGGACAAGATCTCCTGAGCAAATTGGGAGCATAGGGGGAGGGAGAGGGAACTAGGAGAATGAGAAGGGGAGAAAAGGAGAAGAGAGGAGGACATGAGGGAGCAGGAAGACTGAGTTGGGGGAAGAATAGAGGAGAGCAAGAAAAGAGATACCATAATAGAGGGAGCCACTATAGGTTTAAAGATAAATCTGGCACCAGAGAAATGGAAAGACATCCATCAGGATGACCCCCAACTAACAATCTAAGCAACAGTGGAGAGGCTACTTTAAATGCCCTTCCCCGATAATGAGATTGATGACTACCTTATATGCCATCCTAGCAGAAGCAGACACCCACAGCTAAACACTGAGTCAAACTCCTGAAATTCAGTTGCAGAGAGGGAGGAGTAACGAGCAAAGGGGTCAAGACCAGGCTGAAGAGACCCACAGAAACAGCTGACCTGAACAAGGGGGAGCTCACAGACCCCTGTCTGACAGCTGGGAAACCTGAGCAATCTATGGGGCCTCTGGTAGTAGATCAGTATTTATCCCTAATATACGAATGGGAGCCCATTCCACATAGAATAATACTCTCTCAGCCTAGACACATGGGGGATGGTCTAGGTCCTGCTCCAAATGATATGACAGACTTTTAAGTTCCCCATGGTAGGCCTCAACTTCCCTAGGGAGCAGAAAGGGGATGGGATAGGGGGCTGGTGGGGGGCAGGGGAGAAGGGAGAGGGAGAGGGAACTGGGGTTGACATATAAAAAAAGATGGTTTCTAATTTAAATTAAAAAAATAAAAGAGTTAATGCTTGGAACTCATGAAAATGGAGGAAGCCAGCCAACCAATATAAGAACACTACAGAGATAAATTAAATCTCACAGCATTGCCATCAATTTCTGAGATGACAAACTCTTCCTAGAGGAAGAGAGAGCAAAGTAAAGAGATAGTGGATATGGTGGGACCCAAACTTTGTGTACCAAATCAGAAAAAGGCACTGCACCTTAACAGCAAGCAAGCATGATTATCAGGAAAGAGAATGTCTTCATATCCCAGTATCTGAAAAAACTTGTACAATAAGGCAATTGTGCTGAACACTGCTTAGACTTGGGAGAAAATCAAGCAAACTTAGCTGCAGGGATGAGCAGACATGCAATGAATTTTCATAAGTTTCATTTATCATATTTATTTTTATTTTTAACATGTGTATTTTATGTGTTCATGGGATGGGGGCTGTGTATGGAGGCTAGAGTCAGTATTGGGTATGTTCATGACTAAGACAGGGTATCCCACTGAGTCTAGGACTCAGCAGCATAGCCAGACAGGCTGGTCCATGAATGCCAGCAACCTCATGTCTCCAGTGCTGGGTTTACAGATGGGCACCAGAATAGCTGAGTTTTATGTAATTCTGGGGACCAAACCCAGGTCCTCAACTGCACCATCTCCCAAGCCCCAGTTTTTATAGCCTCTAGATTTTTTCTTGGCCTGCTTTATTTAAATACAGTTTGTTAAAACATGAAAATGATGGCACCAAGCACAGAGAACAACACAGATCCTTAAACAAACTCAGGCATCCTCACCTCTATCACACAGTAAAGTATGAAGAAAGCACAGCAGACAGCAGACATGGAGTACAATTCTGGTCTGCAGGAGCTATAGGAACTTGCAATATTTAGGCTCTCTAAACCTTGGTTTCTTCACCTATGAAACAGAAATACTAAGCCAGGCCTGGTGGTGTGCACTTGGCTGGCAGAGGCAAGCAGATCTCTGTTTGAGGCCAGCCTGATCTACACAGTGAGTTCCAGGATAGCCAGTGCTACACAAAGAAACTGTCTCAGAAAACAACAACAACAAAAACAACAACAACAATAATAATAATAATAATATCATTATGAGTTTTAAACATGATGTCTGAATTGAGATACTATTAATCATCTGCTGTTAGACATGCTCCAAAGCCAATGTAAGGTTTGTGTTCAAAAGAAAGCTGCTTCTCAGGGAATCATATTATATGGCTATGCTCATTAAAGGGACTATGTTTAGAGTAATAATGATTCATTCCTTTGCATGTGGAAGAGAACAATGAGGCTAACTAACTTTCCAATAGGAGTTAATGGTAAAGTATTCCGATTATATGAATTCTAGTTCACTGTGCCATTTATATCACAAAAACATACATAATGTAATTCTCAACAGCTCCATTTAAATTAATCCTACTTTAAAAAGCAACAGAAATATTCCACATAATCTCTAAGTACAAGCAAAATGTCCTTTATCATACTTATTTATAAAACAATAAACAGGTAATATTAGTAAATAGTATCAACTATTTAAACCTAATAGATAGTATCCTTAAAAAAAGATTCAGAAGAAGTATTATGGCAATTTAAAAAAAATGTGAAAACAATATATTCTTGATTTTTAAAATGTGACCTTGTCAAGGTCATCTTTGGTACACAATGTTCCCCACTTATTTTAAGCAACACTTAAAATAGGGCTCAACAGAAAACCCAGTACATTTTGTACAGGTTTTTCTTTTCTAGAAAAGAACAGCAAAAATTATTTATAAAAACACTGACAGGAAGCTTACAAATCTCTAACAAAGTAGAAAAAGCTCAATCCATTGAAAATAAATACCTTAGAAATTGAATCTACACAGCTACAAATGCAATCGCACAAATGTGGCTGGCACTGATGCAGAGAAGCCAATTCTCTATTTCCTTGAAGCAAAGAACAGCGCACGCACACGGCAAGAAAAACCACAATATTTACTTTCTATAAGGCAAGGTATATCTAACACATTACATTCAGAATCACTCAAACAGCGTTCAGTTTTCAGCCCAAAGGCTGTTATATAAAATGATAGTTATCTCAGAAGCTCTCATTGCAAGAACAAAATTAATCTCAGAAAGGTCAACTTACTGACTCTATTACTTCTACATTGCGAACCGATGGGTCAGGCGCCACCTCTGGCCAATTAGATAATTCCAGGTACCCAGACGCTTTAATGTTGAGAGTATGAGATAAGGTGCCAAGCTGGAAATGATCCCTATCTATTAAAAATGGAGGAAAATAGAAAATAAACAAAATGATTTGTATATAACAGATAACAATCATAATCGAACTCAAGGTAATTGGCATATTACCACAAATGTCAAGGAATAAATACAAACCAGGAAGCTCTTCATAGGTCAGAAAACTGATCTCAGCCCATAGATTACAATAATCTCCCCCATAATGGTCAATAAAAAGCTAATCAGTCAGTGTGTTTAGAGGTGTTGCTCTGAAATGTAGCTTCTCTAAAAATTACTTTACTGTGAATATTAGGAATGACAGCGCAGTTAAACAATCCATATACATGTCTTGGCACAAACACATCTAGAATTTCAATAGTTTTTCTACCAAACTGAATTAGACTTACCATTTTACAACAATTAAATAAGGAACAATGTGAAAACCAAGCTACATAACCACGTGATTCCAATTATAATAGCTATTTAACTATAAGATAAGATATTTAATTAGTCCCTTTTTAAAAAGCTGGGGGGAAGAATACAAGTTTCTTCCTTGAAAACTGAACTTAAATTAAAAAAGATATTTGTATGAAATAATTTCTCCTAGAGATGCCAACCTAAGTGTACATAGATATTTAATTAGTAACTTACTATTAAGGTGACTTAATCCTCAGAAAATGAAAGTATTTAAAGCAGAAATAAAGCCTTACTAGACTTACTAGAACAAAACAGCTATTTTATCTACAGTTATTTTATCGGTTAAACTGCCTGATGAGAATAAAAACCAGAGGACCTAAAATTATTTAGGCAAATGGGGCTACAGAAATACAAACTTTAACAAACATAAAAATAAAGCTTGCCTGAACAGATGAATGAGTGCAAGTAACTGTTCTCATATATCGACATGGAAGTCATGTATTTTTCTAGGAGACAAATTTGAAGCACATCACATTGACACACTTGTAGATAACATGTTTTACAGCTATGCAGTCTGATATACCTTTAAAGGGAGACTCGAGCAGCGGTGCAGGCTTCTGTGCTAGGAATATTTTTTTGGCATATTTACTTAAAGCTCCACTCTTCTCATTCGGAACAATAAGCTGCCTAATAAATCTTGTGCGGTCTCTGATGTCGTAGTTTTGATCATACTTGCCGAGATTTAATATGTACTGGGTAAGCAATTTTGTCTGTTCGGGGAAAAAAAAAAAAAAAAAAAACAGAACAAGTTGAAAATACGGTTATTTATGATTATTGATAACTCTGGATAAACATATTTAAAGACGTAATAAAAATGAATGGTTATGTCAAACAAATGTCGTTCCATGGGGAATATGCATTTCTAACATGGCAAATGGAATTCTGAAGCCAACGCACATGTACTCTTCTGTGCTGGGGAGGTGAATGCTGAGCACCGAGAAGCAGCCATGTGCTAGATTATTAAACTGCTGAAGTGGAAAGAAAGGCATCATTAAAAAAATAATCATATATGGCAAACCCGCTGAAGGGTCTACGTGAGAATAATGAATGTGGAAATACAACTAAAAACATGGCACTCAAAACTTAATCGGAAAAATATGCAGGACATCAAAACATCAGAGAGTATTAGGGGCTGGCAAACTGCTTCTCCTGAGGTGTGCTTTATGAAGAGATACTGTCCCTGGCATAAGCAGTGTCTGCACTCTGACTGCACTCAGTTACTTTACCCTGAATTATGACCCATTAAAGCAGACACATGAATCACTGAACTGGATTACTGCAAATTATTTGCAGTGCATTTAGCTGTTACTTTTTCATAAAAGCAAGCTGCTGATGCCCTCTAAAAACTAGGATAAAAGAGTTCTTCCATTTTTCCGCCATGCTGCTTATAGCCTCTAGTAATATTGGTCATTTATTTATTTACGTAAGCTTTTACAGTGTAATCAGGCTTGCTAAGTCAACTTCTGAATGCACTACATTAACATATATTGAGATGATTTTAATAATAATTAAACCAAAATTGGAATGTAACAAAATAGGTTTGTATTTTAAACTGCAGTGTTTGTAAATGAAAAACAATTTTAATTTAAAAGGCTACATGTGTACAATTGTAAATATAAGTTAAATACGATTTACAAAATAAGGAAAAAACAACAAAAGAATAAATCATTTACATTAGAATATTTTACACACACTAGAAACAGATAAAAATGGAATCAATCACAATAGGGAAACGCAAAGGCAATGCTAGAACAATATGTCAGAGATCAGGAACAGGGGTGGTGCATCTCTTAAAACACTAACCAGCTGAGAGGATGACTGGGAGAGAAAGCAGACTTCTTTTGGAAGCAAGGTGTTTAAAAGCAATGATATGGGTTTGTTTAGGAAGAATTATAAAATGCTTGTAGACCTTTCCTGAATCTAGTTACCATCAACTGCTGTCCATGTTGCTTCATCTATAAGTAGAGACTGATTCCCGTTTAAAAGAATGACAATTAACCAATACCTGGCAGATGAGCAATGCATCAGCTTGCACAGGGTGTGGTACACTGCAGTGTGACTAACTGGAGCGGAGAGCTGTGAACTCATGTAACCATTACTCTCCTCAAATCAGAGTGGAAATCCATACCAGTTAATGCTCACATCCTTCTGAGCACTGCGACCGAGATTCTGCAACTCAACTCAACCAAAGAAATGAATTCTACTAATACAACTTTTTAAACTGATAGTCATACATTCTGCTTATAAATTCCTTAACCCCCAAAGTTTTATGGACTCTAACCTTTAAAGTACATTAACAGACATTATTTACATTGAAAATAATTAAAATATATGACTTATAAAACAGTTCTATTAAAATGTATTTTCAAAATAAAATTCTTCACAACATAAAAGGTATACACCTTCATGCAATGATGCACTGAAAGTAAGTAGAATAATTATTCATCACACACTACAGTAATTGGTTTCTTTACTGTTTGTCTTTAGTAGTAATGCACTGGCATTTCTCTGAAGAATGTACTTTTAAAAGTACCTACTTTAAATCTTGTATTTTAAAAATTGAAATTTAGAATTAGAAATTATGAAATTGCTAATATTTTCAATGTATTATCTATATACCATATTTGTATTTATGTATATACATACATAGATGCATACATACATACGTGTGTGTGTGTGTGTGTGTGTGTGTGTGTGTGTGTGTGTGTGTGTGTGTGTGTTTATGTATGAGTGTGTGTAGACCAGAGATCAGCTTGGGTGTCTTCCTCTGTGCATTCCACTTTATGTTTTGAGACAGGGCCTCTCACTGAACTCAGAGCCCATGGACTGCATCAATTGACTGAACAAGGAGCACCAGGATCTAGCCCCTCCCCTCCCTTCCCACCAGCACTGGGGTTACAATGTGTGGGCCACTGCACTTAACCCACATATCACTGAATAGGGCCAAGGCAGAACTGAGGTCAAAGCAGAGGTGAATGGATCTACTTGTGTATTATTATAACATAACCATTAAGGACACTGCTTCATTAAAAACTAAAACTGGGACACATCTTAACTGGACAGGATACTGAGGCAATCATCGTAAATCAGATTTCTCAGGGAAAGGGGAGTGACATTTAAACAAACAACTGTGGCATTTTAACATCACAAAGTTTCCAGTGCAAAACACTGTTTACAAAAAAAAAATTATATAAAACAAAAAAAAAATGAGATAAAATACTCTAACAATAGCCGGGTGTGGCGCACGCCTTTAAACCCAGCACTCGGGAGGCAGAGGCAGGCAGATCTCTGTGAGTTTGAGGCCAGCCTGGTCTCCAGAGCGAGTGCCAGGATAGGCCCCAAAGCTACACAGAGAAACCCTGTCTCGAAAAACCAAAAAAGAAAAAAGAAAAAAAAATCTCTAACAAAAATACTCAATACTTTCTGCTCTAATTTATTAAATTTTGGTTTTAGTTTAGTTTTCCTGCTTAGATTTAAGAAACTGTTCCTGTTACCAAATAATAGCTAAGACTATCCAAACACTATTTACAGCAATTACCTGCTCCTCAGACTGACTGGTACACAAGCCAAAGGAATTTGAGGGTAAGCACTAGAAAAATTAAAGAATTTATTATTTAAAGTATAAGAGAGATGAGCACCATATCCTTACCCGAATATTCTTTTTTTTCTTACCTGAATATTCTAACAAAGTGGCAAATATTTACTAAAACAATTGAATTCTTCTAATACAATTACACATTAATGACAAAGATATGCCCGGAGAAATGTTGTCATTGGGCAGCTCCCATAGCTGTGGGGCCAGAGTGCACTCACACAAACACACACAGCTTCTGCATCACCAAGTACCAGTGGACCCACCACTGTACACATGGTCTGTTAATGCCCAAAATGTCATTATATATTGCATGAACATGGCTTAAAAATTAGTACAAAATAATGAAGGTCATTTAAAATAGTCATAAAACTAGTCTATGACACTACTACTACAAGGAATACAAAAAGACATGCTGAATTCAGCATTCAGTATAACAAGTTATTTTCTAAAGGCAAGAAATGTTAAATACATTTGGAAATTGCATAGAATTCTTAACCTACCCTAGAAGCAAATCTAAGCAGTTCTACTGTTCTGTACTTTCATGACCAAAAGGTTCTTTTCTGTGACTTGATGGAGGTTTTAAATTCAGCAACAACCACTTTCTTGTCAATTTGGAAGGTTTCCTGTAAGATCTTTCTGTTTGGTTTTTGTCGAAGAAGGGAGTACTGGAGATAGAATTGAGGGTCTCAGACATGCCAGGCAAGTGCTAGACCATAGAACTACAGCCCTAGCCCAGGTCTTCCTTTCTAATTCATATTTACTTAATTTTCTTAGTAGAGGGTGGGTGGGGGAGAGAGAAAGAAATGAAAGCTAGGCAGTGATGTCATAGAACCCAAAACTTTTGTCAAATGAGAACAAAGGGCAAAGCAAGGAGATTTCTGAAAAAGACCAAATCAGGAAACATGCTCCTAACTTTAGGAGGGATCCCCAAAATGTCAGTGCAATTCACCCAGTATCCCACTCAGAATCAAAATGCACTCAACAAGTAAAAAGTGCTCACTTTCTAAGTAGCAGAGTAGAAACTTGAGTGTCTCACAGAATATCAAAAGGTACATGACCCGCATCTGTACATATCACTATTTCAAAGACATGACGTGAAAGGTGGCAAAACTATAATAAAGTAGAATACACATAGAACTAGAAGGCAATACAATTTTATTAATACATGTTCTTATAATGAAAATAAGCTTGACTGAATGAAATGTATCAACAGTACAGTTGTGGTCACCAATAGGGAAGAAGAAAGATATGAACAGGAGCTTCAAGTGCCAGAGCTATCACTTTTTATAAGGAGAAATGCAGCAAATGCTGACTGTGATCGGGTCCTGAGGATAGACAGATACATGTGTTTTTCCTGTTATGTTCTTTTCCATGAGTTTGCAATTTGCCAATATAAAGACAGGGGATAAGAACCACACTGACTTATTATTTATCTCTGTAATTAAAACATTACAAATGTTTCTTAGAGGTTCCCTTTATTTACTTTTAAATGCTATTAACCATAACCAAGCCCATGCTGACATCAGCAACTGTAACAAGTCACAAAGCCTTTAGCATTTTCCACATACAGTAATACTATTTCCCTGTGACCTCTCCAACATGATGTCCACTGGATATCACCCCCCCCACCCTACCCCCTACCCCGTAATGGATATTTTTATATAACACTGTTCTCCACTAACTAGCAAATGAGGGATTACACCACACTTTTCTTTAGAATGGGTTCAAATGAATAGGTTTCTCATTGAAGAAGAAGATAATTACTGGTAGCTGAACTGCCTCCCTTATTATTAAAATAAAATCATTTCCTCTAAGAAAAACCTAGCAGATGATTAGGAATGTGAACTTGAGCTCAAATGAAAAAGAGGAACTATCATGAGCTAAGCACCACTATGTGACAGGATGGGTACACACTGCAGAAGGTACAGTCAGTTCTACTCTAATGCTTATTTTGAAAATATGTATTTGTTCTAATTTGGCTGACATATTCTAGAGCAATTCAGAGATAATGTGAATTTTGTGCATGATTTTTTTTTTTTTGCAGGAAATACTAGGTAAAAGCAGAAAAATGGACCCAGCAGAACTTGGCTGCCCAGGTACCCACCAAGCAAGCACACACTCAGGCATTGAGCCCAGATGTTACCATCCACATGCTATAAGTCATGCTCCATACAGCTTCCTCCTGATTTCAAATGACTCACTTTTGAAGACTAACGGAAGAACATAACCTACTGGCACACACTTCCTCACCGAGTCTGTACTCTTGATGTGGATTTTTAAACAACTGTACATAGTAAACTGTGCTGTACTTTTCACATAAAAACATGCAGCGATTTCTGAGGCATTCGGAGAACTAACTCTAGCTCCATCTCCCTGATAATTACCATGTGGTATATGGCATGGGTTTGTTAACTACAATGATTTTTAAGAACACATATACGTTGCATAATAATAATGCTGACTTAAGTTCTTTAACATCTATTCTAACTAATGAGGAAACTGTCTCAGACATGTATGGTAACTTGCCAGAAAGCAAATGGTGAAGCAGTAGTCAAAGGTCCTGTTCATAATTGCATATGCTCCCACCACTAATAACACATAGTTCTAGGGTAGTCACCACACTGAGCAGATTAAAAACTGCTGCCAAAATGGGGGGATGCAGAGGGAGAGGAAGAGGATGAAAGTGTAGTGGGGGCATGTGTGAATATAATCACATTCATCTATATGAAATTATTAAACAAAAAAATAAATGTATTTCCCAAGAATCCAAGGACAAGCTTTCATCTGAAAGAGCCTGGGGTTACAAGTTTGGTTTACTTAAGTTTATATTTTTTAAAATACCAAGCCATATTTTAGCAGATTAAAAAAAACCATAAAGGAGCTTCAAGCCATAAAGTGACAGATTTTAAAATATCAAATAAAGCTTTATAATTCTGCCAGTAGAATATATACTACCTAAGTGGTAAAATGCTTGCACAAATCCCTGGGTTCAATCCTTAGTCTCTGTCTCTCTGTCTCTGTCTCTCCCTCCATCTCTCTCTCTGACCCCCCTCCTCTCTCTCTCACACACATACTCTCTCACACATGAATATATACCACTCAAAGTAAATGACCTGGACTAGTAGGTTATTCTTCAGTGAAAGGGTCCAGAGAGAGAAGATGAGGGGATTAGAAGATAAAGAAGATAGAGAACTTTATTAAGTTTGGTACTGGAAGGTCTTGAACAAGCTCTGTCTTATGGCAAGCAAGCTTACTAAGAAGTACAGCATCTTACCTCCCACCTCCAAAGGAGAAGTGGGACAGAGTCAGGAGGAGACTAGTCAAACCACACTGCACAAGGGAACACAAGGGAGCTCAAGAGCATCACACACTGAGCACACAGGGCCTCACTCTGTAGACCTGGCTGGCCTGGGGCTCACTATGTAGATGAGGATGTCCTCAAACTCAGAGAATTCATCTGCCTCTGCCTCTGCAGTGCTAGGATAAAAGTGTATCACACCTAGTCCAGTTTTATAACTTCTATTTGATTTTTCGAAATAACTTATATTTCTCTCCTGAGATTTCTTTTCAATCATTATGAGTATACTTATCTTTGTATCAGTAACCAAATTTCTAACAGTTGCTTCAAAATGTTTACCTGTAAATCCAGCTTTGGTTGCTATGGATAATTTTCCTTCTTAAAAACTGGTCATTTTTTAAAACTTAGGTGGAGCTTGGGGGTGGTGGCACTTGCCATTAATCCTAGCACGCAGGAGGCAGAGACAGGTGGATCTTTTTGAGTTTGAGGCCAGTCTGGTCTACAAAGCTACACAGAGAAACCCTGTCTCAAAAAACCAAAGAAAAAAAAAAAAAACTGGTTATATTTTCCCAATCGTTTAAGTTGAGGTTAAACATGAAATTTACTAATTTACTACATTAAGGTTGTAACTCAGTGGCATTTAAAATGTTGTGCACTCATGAGCAGTTCTGTCTCTTGCACTCTTTCAGCTTTCCACACTGAAAGTGGAAGTCCATTAAACCACAACATACCCATTGTGGTTCCCCTGATACAGAGTAAATCTGGATTACAGACATCATCTCAACACTGTTAGCATTCGTTAATTAGTACTGGGGTTTTGCTAGTCTCAGCACACAGTTAACGATGGGTTTCAACATGTACACTCTACTTCCTGGCTGCACCTCAAATTGCAGGCCAGCTCTTTGATTCTTAGGGTGCTGTCTTGAATCCACCATGCACATGTCTGTGTCAGGAGTCATCCAAAGGCCTGGGAAGCTGATTCAAACTTACAGGCTCTTCCACTCTCGGTACTCCAGAATTCTTCCTTAGTTCTGTCATGTCTATGGCTTGCTTGTCTTCTCCTCTCCTTTTAGAAGGCAATTACCAGTTACTGTAGTTACCATGTGTAGTGCCTGATGCAGCCTATTGACAGCACACCAAAAACCTGAGGACATCTCTCTGAGCCCTGCTCCCTCCCACAGGTCCACCAGGCTGCAGCATCTTCCTTCATGTCTCACTTCACTGAGTGGTCAGGCGGCTGTGCATTTTGCTGTGTCCTAATTTTCTGTTTATATTTGTTATCTCCAGGAAGACCATGCCAATCAGAGATCGGAGTTTACTTTGCTAATTAGGATGTTAAACTTTCATTTTGATTCTCTTTTGGTCAGGAAAAGACCTTCTTTTACTTCTTCTTCTTCTTCTTCTTCTTCTTCTTCTTCTTCTTCTTCTTCTTCTTCTTCTTCTTCTTCTTCCTCTTCCTCTTCTTCCTCTTCTTCTCAATCTCCCCCCCCTCTCTCTCTCTGTGTGTGTGTGTGTGCACACGTGTGTGGGGGTAAGCAAGAATATGCTTGTGGAGTGTAGAGGTCAGTCATGGGTACTATTCTCAGGAGCCATCTACCTTATTTTTGTTTGTTATCATAAATTTTTATCATTTATTTATTTAGAGAAAAGGGAAGGAAAAGGGGAGGAGAGGAGAGGGGAGGAAAGGGAAGGAGAGGGGAGAAGAGTGAGTGAAAGTTCAAGTCTGCCATGTTAGTGAGGTAGAAGTTAGAAAGCAACTTGTATGAGCTGGTTCTCTCTTTGCACCACATGGTTCTCGGGGCTCAAATACAGGCTGTCAAATTTGGTGAAGACTGGGACCCACCGAGCAATATCACCTCCACACACCCTTTGCCTTTTTGAGGTAGCCCCTCTAACTGACCTGGAGCTTACCAATGAGGCTAGGCTGGATGAACAGCTAGCCCAGCATCTATAGGCTCTACCTCCTGGTGCTGGAACTGCAAGCATGGACTGCCACACTTTTATCTTTTAGTGAGTTCTGGATATAAAACTCAAGTCCTCATGCTGTACAGCAAGAATCTGACTGGGGCAGTTCCCTATCAGCAAGTATCAACATTTTGAAGAAGCAAAATTTATTATTCAACTATTCTCTATGCATACAGATTAATACAATGTACTATATATTCCTTATAAAAACTGACAGACACATTCTCTAGAAGTTGGTAATTCAGTGAAAGTTCTGGAAAGGTTCAGTGAGTCCAATATCCCAGGGACTCAGCTCTACAGATAAGTACTAGGGCTTGTGCAGAGGCAGCTCTAAGCAGTGGTCTGCTCGTACCTAGCCAGTTTTAAAAATGGGGAAAATAAATACATGCAAAAGCACTTTTACATTTCAGTCAAAGTAATCACCTCAGTCTCTACCTAATATCCACTGGGTTATGAACCACACAACTAGAAGATACTATCGAACTGGTGGTACATAAAACCATTTGTTGGTGCTAATTTTCACTCAGTAATTTTACCGACCTCCTTTTAAAATAAAAAGTGGGAAATACTGGAAACAGGACACAATTCCACAGGGCATGTCATCTATTTTTATATCATTTAAAAACAATGAACTATGTGAAATACTAAAATACTTTTTAAAATCACTGTGTTTTCACCTATAAGTAGTAGTGTGTACAGCCGTTATCTGGAAGAGTCATTCTAAAATCTACAATCGCATACTTCAGAAACTGTGTTCCAAAATTGTTTTGAAAAAGATTTAGCTCAAAGAAAACCATTGAAGGCAAACAAAGTCGCCTTCAAATTCACGGAGTGAAAAGACTCTGAATACACTCTACAACTTCCAAATAGAGAGTACCCCATTCAGGTATAATAATAATAATAATAATAATAATAATAATAATAATAATGACAAAATAATAATAAATGACTTAGATCTGAGCCACCCGATGCCATTTAGAAGGACTCCACCCTCTTGATCTAAAACTATCAAAGGCACCACTTCCTTAAACTATCACTTTAGTGATGGGGTCAACTTATTCAGATAATAGCACACACTTCAATGAACACATCTCTACAATTTTCCTCAATTCCCCAAGGAGTTTCACGACTCTGCCTTATCCTCTCCGTCCCGTGTTCTGCACACTGTACACTGACCCTCTCCAGGCCCTTCTCAAGCATCTGTCGTTCATAAACATTCTTCACCTCTCCCTCCACACCAGACCTTCTGCACTCCTTCATCACAACTGTATCTCAACGCCTCTACCACAGCTCTTCTTCTGAGCCTGCCTTTTCCACTACTGGATCAGAATGACTTGTTGGCACTCCCTCCTTAGAACCTAATACAAACAGGGTCCAATACACTGAGTACCTGGGGCAATTGGTGGAAAGGCTTCAAGGGCTTTGTTAGAGTAAGAACAGCACCTGTCAGGATGAATAAGGGTAGTCTCTTACCTGCTTGGAATTGGTTAAATACAATTTTGCTCCAAGATTTAAAATCTGCAACTTCACCAGATCATCTTCACTGGTGAAAGTTTTAGCCATTTTCCTCAGAACATCAGGAGCAATTTTAGGAACTCGTTCACAGTTTTCTCCAATTAGCCAAAGAATGCTTGCTCTGGCCACAGGAACCTAACACGAGGAGCAGATCACATAATTAGAAATGGGATAATCACACTTTTCAACATGAGCACAGACAAGGCTTAGAACTGCAAAGATTTCCATCTATTCACTCACTGTATGTATGTAGCTAAGAGTTGCTCTGGCACTTTTAAGGTTTGCTTGAGTTGTCAAGTACAGACACAAAGGTAATCTCGTGAAAGCTGATCTCAGTCAGGGCTGGAGCTGGCTCACTGGTTAACAGCACTGGCTGCTCTTACACAAGACCTGAGTTTGAGTCCTGGCACCCACATGACAGTTATAACTCCAGTCCCAGGGGATTCGATGCCCACTTCTGATCCCCACAGGCACAAAGCACACATGAGGTACACAGGCACACATGCAAGCAAATTGCCCTGTACATTATGTAAATAAAAATTTAAAGATGGTTTTCAAAGAAATGCCCCAGAAAGAATCAGTAAAGTAAGAACTACTTGTCTAGAATCTGAGTCCTTTTGGAGCCCAGCAAATTGCAGACCAAATCTGGGTGAGTGCAGTGCTTGCTTGTTCCTGTCACTATTTCATGTTGCTGTGGGAGAAGTGGGCTGTACTGTACTTTAGTATTATAATTTTTAAAATAAAGTACACTTCAATATAATTTGTTTTCCTAAAAACCACTGCCTTGCTACAAATTGGAAACCTTCCATCAGAACCATTAAGACCAACATTTTAGAGTATGCAAATTAGTTTTATTACTATTTGCTTATTTGTATCCTCCCTTATTCCAAAAGGAATTTGAGAGGGCATGTAAATTAGTTCCTGTGAACATTTTCACCTAGCATAGAAAATATGCTTTTTATACTAAGTGAGAAATCTGATGGCTACCATAAGTGGTAGCCTGACAAGAAAAGACAGCATGCCTTTCATGAAGCCCTTTTACATGGCCTCAAAGTTCTGCTGCTTCCTGTACAGCTTCACAGATGTTCACAGTTTGACTTCAAAGGAAGAAAGCAAGAATGTGATAAAATTATATCCAGCCATGTTAGACAATTTAAAAGTACTTGTTTTATAATAATATAAAATATTAACATATCTAAACCAAGTCAACAGAATCAAAGATCACCAACAATGTTTGGAAATAAGAAGTCTAATTCATGCTTAAAATGGGCTTAGTAAGAGAGGAATCAGTCTGCTTATGCAATGTAAAAGGGCCTAAGGGCTATGTCAAATCTATTCATGCAGTGTGATAAAACTAATACCCTTACTGTACACTGATTTCTGGAAAGAAAGAGGTTATTTCTAATGTTCCAAAGGTTACACTGCATTAAGACCTTACTCCCAATCTATTATTTTAAATTGGGCTAAAGAATAGTAATTGAGTGGTGCATTAAGTTTCCAGCATAGAGCAATTCAAGTGGCTTTCCATAATGAGAGGTACTTCTAAATGAGAATATATAGGCAACTCAGAGTTCAGCTGTGCTAGATTTTTCTGAAATATTTTACTTTATATTACAACCCTAGAAATTAGAGTTCCACAACAAAACCCAATCTATTGTCCAATTTTAATTGTTTTTCTTTTGGCAACATACCTATAATTTTCCTTTGCAATTAAAAAGACAATCACAAAATGAAAGTATTAAAACACTTCAGACTCATGAGTATCTTAAGATTAAAAAAACAGTATTTTAGTACTATAAGCATTCATAGTAATAACATTTGAAAGAATTAAAAATAATAAATCCATGCTAACAATGTGAAAAGTTAAGATAGTGGTGGAATAAGAGGGATAACATTTGGAATTTACTAGAAGTGAGTTAATAAAATTCCTAAGCAAACATTTTTAAAATATTGAAATTTCTTTATAGTAAGAAACAATATAAATATTACATCAATCTCTCTTTTTTTTAATATTGTATGTTTTATTCACATATGTTTTGGAATTCCCAAAAGATGATGTTGATACAGATTATTGGCACTTACTGGACGCTGGAGAGGGGATATAATATAATACATCAATCTCTTAATAATGGTATTTTATTAAAATGTCAGAAGATAGAGTCCCATCACCCAGCAGGCAGGAAGTAGGCAGGTACCCCAGCCAGTTTCGGCTACATGAGACTGTCTCAAAAAAAACAAAACCAAACAAAAAAGCCTTAAGAAACTAACGAGGCCATTGTTTTGTCCATCTGGCTAGAGTTAGGATTTTCCAATTCAATCTTTCCTTTTCTCTCGAAACTAAAACTACAAATAAAACAACCAGTTACCTTGTTCTCCACTTTTTTCAGCCACATAATAAACAGGAACAGTTAACTAAAACTCAACTATTAATACAATATACACACGGTCAAACATAGTATAATACTCTTTTTATGAACCTCTGCTTTTCAATATTCTCAAAGACCAACTGACCTGTAAATGACTTCGCCGATTCTTTACTCTAAATGCCCTGAGCAAGTGGTTAAGTGCACTCTTCAAGCCTTCTAAGAGAATGTTGTTGCCACTGCCATTTTAACCCATTAACTTGCCTGCAAAAAACAAATGACGATTCCTCCCCCACCACCACAGCTATAAAGAGACATCTAAGAAGATTTTACAGATCGCTCTGTAAACAGTTCAATTTAAAAGCTATTGTGTTTCAACAACAGCCATTGCACTGGGCAACAGTCTAAAGTAAACCCTGCAAAATCATCATTTTTATTTGTTTAAATTTGTCAGTAGACATCTAAACAATGCATACTAACAGACAACCAGATCCCAAAAGTCTGTATCTGGGCTTAATATGCATTAAAATTTAAGTCTGAATAAGTGTGAGGGTGCATTGAGAGGGAACTTGTGAAAGAGCAGCATCCAGTGTGGTGTCTGGGCCAATGTGTACCATGTGCTACTTTAGAATTACTCAGCTGTTCTTCCAGAATAATATCCCAAGTGTTCTTTCATGACACATGTCCTAGAAAACATTGCGCAAAGCCCACTAGAACAATCCTCAGATGTGCATTTTACTCTGGAGCAACTTTATTGCAAAAAGCAGTACTCATTACAAATGAAGGACACACCAAAGGACAATGCAGTTACAACCAGAACACACAAGATGACTACTATAGCCATTATCTCTTTAATCCCGATGAGCTCAAAAAGCAAAATAATGTAAACATTAATCTTCATATTTTCAACTATGCTACCCCCTAAATAACGAATGGAATCAGGCTTATTATGACAAAATCTACCAATGTTGTCTCCTTTTTAAAACCTGCAGGCCTAACATTTAAAGGGTCCCTTCCTACAATTTGTCACAGGGCTTTTGAAAACTAGCTAATTTCTCAGCTAGATGTCCACAACAGCAGTACACAGCAGACTCTGCCATTAACTCCACTGGAAATATAAGGACACAGGGGTGAAAGGCTGCCCACGTGTCACAGATCAATCATCAGGGGTAGTGCCAGGACTGGAAGTGTGAACCTAACTCTCTAATTCTCCTTAGAGCTCCTTTATGGGAGGCAGGGACATGGAAAAAGACTAACCCAACACAGATCCATCTCATGGTGGACCATAACTTCACAGGTCCATCTCATGGTGGACCATAATTTCACTTCCATGGGCCTCATATGCTCAAATGAAGGAATACGCATTCTGCTACCACATCACACAATGTCTTCCTTTCTCTTGCTGTTTCTACAAGAGCCAGACTTTTCAGGGAGGGTGTAGGCTCCCTCTGCCTGGCCCCACACTAAGCCTCACTGGATGGTCTGGCGTTGAGTTCTATTATCCCTCCTCCCAGGGAGGTACTACTTGCCTAGGATGCTGCCCGAGCAGGTATTTTAGGCCCTCAGTGAACATGTTCAGCACTGTACTCTGGCCCTTTCACAGGGCAGTCTGGCGTCTCCTGAAATTGCTGAGTTTGGACATCACCCCAGATATCAAAATACAGAATCCAGGGAGGTCCCATTCTAGGCTCTGCTTCTCAGGCTCCCTTATTCAGTCACAGCAGCTCCCAGGAGTGGGGTCCAACTAACAGCTGCATTATTCCTGCTTCCACATCCTCCTGCAGGCCGTTCTTATGAGAATCTCTCACGTGACTGGGAACAGAGATCCTGAGGACCTAGTCTACCCCTTTCCAACTCAGGCTTCTATCTGCTACATCCCTAGTCACATTCTGATGTCTCTCCCTGACCATTTTTAGCCTTCTGCAAAACAACTGTCTTCTTCAAGCAGGTCCATTTCCTCTCTTATGGCTCTTCAACAGGGACCCCCATCATCAGTGCCACTTGTTAAAAATCAAGTTTGCACAGCAGACCTGCATGAAGCCTTCTTCTAATTACTTGAATAATAATTTATGCTTCAGAGTTGGCTTCCTCCCTGCTTTATCAGGAAGGGGGTTCTATTCTACTAATGTTTTATAAACCCAGGTCTCACAAGTTATTTATTGAACTGATTTTTTTTTTTTCAAATGAGAATTTCTTTCAACCTCGATTCCTCATCTTAGGTTTTTATGCTGTTCCATTTTGTTCCTTGACAATCTTTTTCTTTTGTATTTATTTACTTGGCAGGTGGGGAGTGAGGAGGCTGCCATAGTGAATACATGGGGAGGTCAGAGGACAATTTATAGGTGTCAGTTCTCTCCTTACACCCTGTGGTTCTTGGGGATTCAATTCAGGTCATCATGGCAGCAAGCACCATAACCCTGCTGAGCCACCAAACAGCCCCACCTCCCCTTTCTGAATTTCCTAGGGACAAATCCATGCTCTGGAATTTTTATCTCTTTAGGATTTGTTGTATTTATTTATTTGTTTGTTTGCTTGTTTATTAAGTTATGTGTGTGGTGTGTATGCCACATACACAGGTATACATGGAAGTCAGAAGATGGTGTCTGTCAGACCCCTGGAGCTGAGGTTATAGGAGGTTGTGAACCACCCATCATGGGTACTGGAATCTGAACTCTGGTCCTCCGGAAAAGATTCAAGTGCTCTTAACTGCTAATCCATCTCTCCATCTCCTTCGCTTATTTTACAAAAAGACTATACTGATTAAATAAATTCTTTCTTTGACCTAATACTGGGGTATAGCTCAGGGGTAGAATGCTTGCTCAGCATTTGTGAGGTCTCTGGTTTAAGCCCCAGCACTACAATAACACACACACACACACACACACACCCCACACACACTGGGTAGAAGTTCCTTCCTTCTCATATGTTTGCATTATTGCCATGTTGTGCACAAACAGGGTTAGCTTTGTTAATTCCTTTGTGAATTAGCTCTTCTTCACTTTATAATGTTCCTTTCCATGTAAACACTTCTAATTAACATCATATGTCACTTTCTGTTCACAATTGCTAAATATCTCTTTCCCTGCCTTATTTTTTACCCTTTTACTTGATTAGGGTCCTTTGATTGTAAATGGTTAACTTCTGACAAAAATAAACATCAAGAGTCAGCTGCATAGTCTAGACTTGAAGGAAGCCTCCACTTGGCTAATAAGTCGACACTTCTGTCCCATAGAATGCTAACACAATCACTCAACAATGGTACAAGGATGTCGCAGAGCCCCAAAAGTTTTCTACCACGGAAGTCTAAGGCTTGCCTGGATTTGCCTCAGATACTTTACAGATAAGAAGGAACATCCTGAGGCTCTCACAGTTGCCTCTTCCCTTCTGATAGGTCTTGAACAAGCTGAATGCTGCCCAAGCAGTTTGGGGACAAAATATCCCACATTCATATTTTCCTCTACTAACTGCACACTTCTCTGCTATTAGCGATAAAGATACAAATTCTCCCCACTACTTTCACCAAAGATATTCCACTTTCACCTTGGTGCTTTTTAACACTAAATGATCACTGCATCTCCAGTAACATTCTTCCCTTGAAACCATCAAACCCATTAATCTGACCTCCTCATCTGCATCAATATGTGTTTCTAAGATTATTCAAGACTTAGTTCTCAATCAGAATTTCAACTATGCCCCTTTCCATTCAGGACCTCGGATTTACGGCTTTTGGATGACACTCACAGACTACTGTTTACACTTAATTATCATTTAATTAATCTCCAAACAACACCTATCTGCCATTCTCTGTGCACATTCATCAGTTGTTACACCCATGAATTTTTTTTTGGGGGGGGGGGCAAGACAGCTCTGGCTGTCCTGGAACTCACTTTGTAGACCAGGCAGCCTCGAACTCAGAGATCTGCCTGCCTCTGCCTCTGCCTCCCAAGTGCTGGAACTACAGGTATGCACCACCAACGCCTGGCACAGCCATGGTTCTTACTAGGACCTATCTCACTTCTAATCAATGTTGTTATCCTCTATGGTGAACACCCAAATTAATTTAACCCAGGCTGGCCTGAAACTCACTGTGTAGACAAGGCTGGCCTTGAACGCCCAAAGATACACCTGCCTGTGGTAGAATATTTTATTTTAAGGTGTGTGACTTTTGTTTATGCTGCATTTGTTTAACTCTGTGAAACTGTAATTCTTTGCCTGTCTAAAACACCTGATGATCTATCTAATAAAGAGCTTAATGGCCAATAGCAAGGCAGGAGCAAGGATAGGTTGGGCTGGCAAGCAGAGAATATAAATAAAAGGAGAAATGAGGAAGAGGAGGAATGAGAGAACAAGGGGAGAAGAACATCATGGGCCAGCCACACAGTAGAGTGAAAGTAAGATATAAAGAAGAAAAGGAAAAAGCCCAGAAGCAAAAGGTAGTCGGAATAATATAAGAAAATCTGGCAAGAAAAAAAGCCAAGCTAAGACCAGGTATTCATAACTAAGAATAAGCCTCTGTGTGTGATTGATTTGGGAGCTGGGTGGCAGGTCTCTCAAAAAGCCAAAACAGTAAAAACATCACAGTATACCTGCCTCTGCCTCCTTAGTGTTGGGATTATAGGTGAATGTCACCACACCAAGCAGTGCCTGAGATTTTCTTGGCAACTGAAATCTGGAGAGCAGAGGCCAGCCATGTTACCAAACAGCCTGAGCGTGAGCATGTCTTACACTTCCTAATTATGCTTCCAGACATCATTGTTCCTGCATCATCTCAAAAGGCACCTACATCATGACATGTTCTCCCATGCTCACATGGTTAAGACAGTGTTGACCAGGTCACCACAGTAAATCATGATTCCAACCTTTGAAATTAAAATGTAATTTTTGGGGACACACTTTGAGGCTGTGCAAATGCTATCCTTAAGTTTTCATCCACTAGTATGTAGTACATCTCAAGAACTCTCCCATGAATCAGTATCTCAATGGTTGGCAGACAGAGAAATTCTAGCCCTATCATTCTTTCTAGATTCATTAATTGTTTGCTCAACTGTTTATTTGCTCAGTGGTTTATTCATTATGCATTCATTTTCCACTAAATAATTTCCTTTCACTATTTTTAACTTTGATCAGTGGAAGTTCCTTGTTCTCAAGCTGGGCTCTTGTGTTAGTTATTGTTTTTCTTTCGCATTCTTTAAATATGGCTCTATCATTCTATAAAAACAGTTCCACATTTTTCCCTTTGTATCAACACGATGGTCCTTGAAGAAAGAATGGATTTAAAGATCAATACTGGACTATCTATATAGTTCAGCTGACAGAAGCACTGGCCTCCAAGCCTGAGCATTGGGGCTCAACCCCAGAACCCATGTGGTGGAAGAAGAAAACTGACTCCCACAAATTGTCTTCTAACCTCCACACAGATGCTGGGCACATATATCCCTCCCCCCAAAAAAACCCATGCAAAATTTTTTTATTTTAAAAAGCATAAACTTGAAAGCATACTAAGTAAAAGAAGCCCAAAACAAGGTCACATGTTATATGAATCTGCTTATATAAAATAACCAAGAAGAAACAAACCCATAGAAACAACAAGCAAATTAGTGGTGGTGAGGGAAGAGAGTGAGGGGAGGCTGGGGGATTTGAGTGTGGGATTATTACTTAAAAGGTAATGAAAATATTTGCACAACTTCATGAATCTACCAAATCCTACTGAATAATGCACTTTAGAATTTAAGCTTTATGGCATGAAAAAGCTTATCAATAATAACCGAAGATCCCTGCAGCGCTGATAAATACATGTTATATACATCAGATTCACACATGACACACAAATCCAGGCATACACATATACTTACTATCTATCTATTGGTACTTAAATCCCACAAAGATTACACTTTCTAATTCCAGCCCAGCACTGTTGGGCTCACTCTCCTCTGCCCTCCTTCAGGTCTGTAATCCTCTCTTAAAAACAGCCAAATCTTTTTGTTGTTGTTGTTTTGTTTTTGTTTCTTTTTGTTTTTTCAGACAGGATTTCTCTGTGTAGCCTAGACCAGTCTCGAATTTATAGAGATCTGACTGCCTCTGCCTCTGCCTCTGCCTCCCTAGTACCGGAACTAAAGGCATGCACCACCACCACCCCCCAGCTCCAACCAAATCTTAGACAATTTAAATCCAGACATCACAGCTTTCTTACTCATTACACTCTGAGATAATCATTTAAGAAAAGAGGACTGAGTAAGTTCAGCAGGACTCGGGATACTCACAGTGATACTGTCCAAGAGTTTTGCCATATGTTTAATAATTTCACCATGCTGTGCAGGCTGCATTTGCAAGAGTTTCTTTATAACAACCACACTTTCAGCAACAACTATCTCTAAAAGACACAAAGATTGTCATGTTAAATATGTATAATCAATTCAATTATAATCTGCCTGGTAAAGTGCAAATTCCAATCAGCAAAAGGTTCTCAATGCTTTAAATACATGAAAAGTATAATCTCAAGCATACTCTTCAGTATTTGGGCAAATTGTCTTATGCAGAATTCAGTTCAATCTCTGCAATAAAAGTTACATTATGCTCCACCATGGACAGAACTGTTTCGGCTTTTAGCTAGAGCTTCTGCATAATCAAACACCTAACACTTAAGCATTTTGCCCTATTCTACACTAAACAGGGTAGGGAGGGGAGAGAACCACACCAAACCCTGTCAGTGATGCATCCAGAAACAGTAAGGATTAGGAGAGGCAGGAATGGAATCACCATAGAAATAGCATTCACTTCAATGTCAAAATGAGTGTGACCAAGAGCTGATTGCCTCCACATGTGCTGGGTTGGAATTAGATGGTGCAATCTTTGTGGGATTTAAGTGCAGACAGATAGATATTAAGTAAGTGTATGTGTAGGCCTGAATTTGTGTGTCACGTATGAATCTGTGATGTGTATAGCATGAATTTCCCAGTGCTGTCTTTTGAGAGACCCTAGAAATAATGTCCCTTATCAGTAAGCACATGTAAATCCATGCTATCTATCTACCCAACTTAGACTCCCAGAGGCGGCTCTGTATGGAGATGCATAACCCAGACTGCTTTGTAGCTAGCTTCTCATACTCTTTAGCCAACAGCTGTCACACTGTATCTTATCCTTTGCCTTAATCCTGCCCATACCTTATAAATAGTTAGTTCCTTCAGCAAATCCCCTTTAACTACCCCTTTCAAGCATGCCACCTGCTTCTTGCAAGGACTTTACTAACACAATTGCTACTGTAAGTGATTTAGAAGCAGATTACAAGCTGGAGTTTGGATATAAGTTTTCACAAAGTGGCTAACCAGTAACCTAGTCACCTTTGTGGTGGCACAAGCACAGACACACAGTATCGTAGTACCTAAGCATCTGACCTTATGGAGTAAAACTTCCATGACTATTTTGTGTGTATGTTATAGAACTGTGTGTACTTGTAGCTATGTTGTACACACAAGCATGCATTTGTGCACATTGGCAGAGGCCAGAAGCCAAGACTAGATGCCTTTCTTGGTCATTTTTCACACTTTTTGATAGGGGCTCTTACTGAACCTGTAACTCACTGATTCAACAACACTATCTAGCCAGTAAGCCTCAGGGATCCTTTTGTCTTCCCCTCCCCATAAAGTATAGACACATGCCACCTTGCCTTGCTTTCATGGATGCTGGTATCTGAACTCAGGTACTCCTGCTTGTAGACAAGTACTTACTAATTATTATTAATGCCACAAATGCCAAAATAAATAAGTATATGCTGTCTTTGTGCAGAATTTTGACTTTAAAAAAATTAAGAGCTTCATAGACATTAGCCAATCCCCTGGCATATACTTCAACAGTTTAATACAATACAAAATATCATAATTTGTATTGTTAGATTTTTTTCATTGAAATATATTACCCCTTAAGAATATAAATGAATTTCTTATACTTTTATACTTTTCATGAGTTAATATTTCAAATTATATCTTTTTCTGAATTAATAAATATTAGAACCTAATATTTAATATTAAGGCTTTACAAAAATTATATTTCATTTTTGTCCTGTAATGTGTCATTTTAAAGATGAATAAAGAAACAGATTAGAATTATATGATTTTGTCCATAATTCAAGCTAGCACCTAAAGTACCCTTTGACCTCTTAGAATATTTTATAACCACAAGCAAATGCTACTTGTACATAAGACCACTGCTGTGCTAAGAGGAAACAAAAAATAATTTGAGGTAATTATGTATGGATTATATAATTTGTCAGATCACTTCAGAGTCTACAAGGAAAAATGCACTTGGGTAAATAATATGGCAAAGAAAATATACTAAATATGGTATTAAAGAATCCAGTATTTTAAAAATATGTATTGCAAAACTTGTAAAAATAGGAATGTATATTGCATAACATAAATGTGTACCCACGCTGAGACAGAATTGACTTACTGAAATGTATACTCAGTTAAGTTTATTTTCTAGAGCTAAATTACCTTCCAACCTGCTGCTGAAGGTTACTGCAAACACAGCTTAAAGCAACACAATTTTATCCTATATAGTTCCTGATCAGACGGCAAGCATGAGACTTATGAGTCCAAAATGCAGGGTGATAACAGGGCTTCTGCAGGGTCTGAGGAAAACCCACTTCCTGTATCTCCCATTTCAAGATGCTGCCCTGCCCTTTTTGGTACATTCACATCTTTGATTTCTGCTTCCATAATCATCTGACTTCCTTGTAGGAGCTCAGATTACACTACCATTCAAAGAATCTGTGTCTAGAACCTTAGCTCAGTCATGGTTGCAAAGTCCCCTTTTCCATATAAAGTAAGAATCTGATTTACTAGTACCTGGCAACTCTGGGATTCATTATCCTGTACACCACAGGTGTCTGTCTTCTTACTCACCTCAAGTAACCCACAGTCTATGTTCAAAGACTTCAGCACCAGTGTGTTACTCCATGAGCAATGCAAAGTATTAAGACTTAAATTTGCAAAAATATTAATTTCATTTTTTCTGTAATGTTATCATTTTAAAGATGAATAAGGAAGCAGAGTAAAATTCTATGAGCTTGTTCAAAGTACCTAAAGTACCTTTTGAACTCTTAGAATAGTCAATAACTACCAGCAAATACAAATTTCTGTTCTGGGACTTTTCTAGTGTCCCTCCTGTCCTCAAAAAAACGTAATCATACTGTATCTGAGTACAGTCTACTATTACCCTTATGTTACAAATACAGAATCTGGAGCACAGGTAGGCTGGCTAATTACTCAAGAGAGCATTAACACCCAATCAGGCAGTCTAGTTCTACATACATACAAACAGCCAGCAATAAAGAGAAGTAGATGGGAAACTATAATGTATTTACTTTATGTTACTGTCTCTTTCCATCAGACTGTGAGTGCCATAAAGGCAGAGACTTTTACAAGCTAAATGAATATCTTATTAATCTACTCAACATTTATTAAATATCTCTACAGATTCAAATTCTCACTAAATGTTTACTGAATTATAAAAAAAAACTAAACAAAATTGAAAAATAACCTTCCATCTAATTCTTTTAGTTTATAGTAGGTGACAACAAGGTTACTCAGACAAACAAATCCTGTTAATATGTTACCTAAAATAAACTACCACAGGCAATTAAATTATCCTAAGTCAATTGAAATGTGAATTTCTCATACAAAAGAGGCTTAAGAAATCTGTTTTTCAAATTAATCTTTCACACCAATAATGGGCTGTTTTATGGAAAGCTTCAAGTTTGCTTCACAAGATCCTTTGAAATCAAAACTAAACTTAAAAAAAAAATAACCAGTATGCTTCAGAAATAATTACTTTAAAATTAATATAAATATTTCTCATCAGAAAAAAGGATCAAAAAGATGGGCAGACACTTGTGTTATGCTTTGTATTTAAAAAGACTGTCAGTGTTCTCACTAATTTCTGATATCTTTTTAATAAAGGATATCTTAAAACAACTACCACTAGCAAACCTTATGTAATCCACAGAAAGTCTTCATCAAAGATACAGGAAATAAACTTTTTCTAAAGCCATACTTGAAACCATGACTTAGAATCAGAGATCAAATGTTACTATTCATAGTGAAGCAGACACCATGGACAGCATTTATCATGCTATCCTTCCTTGTTTACCTGCACAGGTAAACTTTTTAGAAATCTCTTTCCCTGTGAATTTGGTGGAATTTGAATTTTAATATCTACCTAGCAATCAAAAGTTTGTAAGTGAAACTGTGATTTTGTGTGTGTAAGCGTGTGCACACACACAAACCAGAGTTATTCAGGAATAAATTTTGTTTTACTGTTTGCTTAGTTTCATTTTTTCATGGGCTCCCCATTAGTACTTACCACAACACAATACCATTTCCTAGGATTATCTACATATGGGAGTCTACAGATAAATTAATCATAGAAGTAAAAAGTTATTCTTCAAGTAAAATATAAGTAACATCAATTTTTGTTATGTATGATTTCAATGGGTACTTTCTCACATATATCTGCATTGAGGTAATTATATATAAAAATCAATAAATAATTTCAAAGATTTTGCACAGCTTACACATTCCGTAAGAAAAAACTCATTTTAATTCACTGTACAATTTTAATAGAAATCTTGTAAAGGTGTGTAGTTAACTTGTTTTTCTCTAACAGATTCATTGTATCTGCAAACCATAACCACAGAGAAAACTGACACTTCAGCACAGAGATGTGTAACAGTTAGATGATAAATTTTGCTATCCCATTTCTAAGAACACTTGAGTAATATTTGGGCACACATGAAGCTGTACCATGTGATGGCTTCTAATCTAACCTGCCTTTAGTGGGAAGCACTGGATGGAATTCTACAAGACTGAAAGGCTTAAGGTTCACATTTCACAAGTTTTGGCCCAGCCACTAATCTGGGTTATAAAGTCATTTGCCTGCTTCTAGCACCCTCTGCAGGTGAACCAGTATTATGCATGGCTTCCATGCCAGTAAGAAACAGTAACAGAATTTGCTTGAAAGGGTACAAGGCAGTGGTTAGTGAATGGGTAAGACAAATTCCTGTATGGTGGCAAAGAAAAGAAAAGAGAAGAGAGGAGAAGAGGAGGGGAGGGGAGGGGAGGGGAGGAGAGGAGAGGAGGAGAAGAAAAAAGAAAAAAAAGGGGGGGGGAGAAGGGGAGGGAAAAAAAAAAGGAGGAGGAAAGTTGAGGGGGAGGAGTTGGGAAGAAAGAAGGAGAGAAAGGAAAATGAAAGAGAAAGGGGTGGAGGAGAAGGAGAGGGGGAGAGGGGAGAGGGGAGAGGGGAGAGGGAGAGTAGAGACTGTTGATTATCTAATTCATTTTTTGAGATGAATTTACATGCAAATCAAGAATATAGTTGCTACTTAATGCAAGTATACCAATACATAGACAAACCCCAAAAGATAACAATAAAGGACTGCAACTGCAGGCCATACTGAACATAAATTATGTGAAAATAAAATGAAACCGTGAACTCACCATCCCTGTTGGATAGCAAACACACCAGGCCATTGAGGCAAGTGTCGGTGACTTCGGTGATGCTGGTTGCACATCTGCCTATGGTCTGAATAGTGGCGGCTGCAAACTGTTTGTCTTGGCTTTTCACGTAGGTCTAAAACAGTTTGATTAGTTTCAACATCGAGATTATGGAGTGAATACAAGTTCACTTTGATAGCTTTGTCAGGATGAAAGAATTTAGAATACACAGTCCTCTCTTAAGCCCTGCAGGAGCCAAGTGATTGCTCACTTCAGTTTTCTCCTGTTATATATAACGTGCTTCTTCTATAACAAAGGTACATTTAAAGCCAGGGTCATTCAACTGCGGCCAGTGACTAGAGGCTCCAAAACAGAGAGAGGGGAGCGTCACCCAAAGACAGCAATTAGTTTAAGAGCTGTGTTGAAAAGATGCTGAGACATGCTCTGTGGAGGTTTCAGTTCATTTAACCAGCAGTACGGGTGCTCATGGAGAGAAGGGGCCACCATTTCAGACACTAAAAGTTCAGAAGAAAGGAAAAGAGGACCGATATGCTGGTAATCGACAATCTGCCACTGGGATGGTTTAAGAGTGACAGTAACTGTCCAATAGCTATGGCGACTGTGCTTTACTAAGGCTACCAATACTAGTTCACAAAATCAATCAGTATCAGAATTTCAAACAGAACAGTACAGATATATATTAAGTCAACTTAAAAACAGTTCTGACTAACAAAAGGAAGTAAAAGGCCTTTACAAATCTCTGACAAACCTTATATATTTTGTGACTTTGGTTACAACTTTCCTACATTTAAAAGCTAAGCTCTTGTTTTGAAAAAAAGTTGCCCAACCTCAAATTCTAAGTATGTAATACAGAATTAACCCTATGGGTATCTAAGAAGAATATGCATTAAAATAGTTATCTAAATGAGAAATCAAGGAAAAAACAAAAGATATGCAAACAATACAGGGATTTAGTGCAAAGTCTCAAGGAGATGACTAAACGTTGGAGAAATAAGTGATTCTTTCTAGTTCCATGAAAAGAAAAACCACATTAGACTTAAAACTGCTCCCCAATAGACAACTTAGTTGCTATAATTAAAAAGAATGCGTTTGAGTTGTTGAGGAGAGTTCCTATTTCACTCACAAAGTTATTATGAGCAAATTATAAGTATAAAGAAAATACATAGACAAAGAAAAAGGACAGATTTAACAGTTTCATTGAGAAGTGGATCTCACATAACGTGCTCACAGTAAATAAGCAGATGAGCACATCCTGCAAGAGGCTCACTGACTACTCCAGAGGACACAAAAGCTGCTGTCCTAGGGTTGCTAGACATGTGCAGAAAGATGACAAGATTACACAGCAAAGGAAAGGGGACAGGGGCAAAGACCAACAGAATGAAGTAAGATTATGTGAGTGACATAAAATTAAAACCCCAACAAGAGCACTCAGAAAAAGCTTGAGAAACCCAATTTTCTGGCATGCCCATATGAGAAGGACTCTATGGTATTCTAACTTTATCAATATTTTTTCTAGAAAAAAAAAAGGATATAGCACAGAAGTTCAGTAACCAAGGTAAGAACAACTGTGGGCACACAATAAAATTCTATTACTCTTGACCAAAGTATAAAAGTAATATAGTTTAAAAAGAAACATGGTATCCACATACAGGAAAAAAGAAATTCAGTGGGCTTATGGAAGAATCATGGCCACAGATTTTGTTAAATTTATCAGTGTTGAAAACCAATAAGAAGAACTCCAGGGTCACTGTACAGGATGTGTGTCAGGATGTGACACAAGTTTACTGTTGCTATGCTCCTCAATGAAGGTTTCAAAGTCGTTCCATTCATCATCAAGTGCATAAAGCCAATGAAATAAACTCATCAAAATCAATTCTCTCCCTCTGCAATCCAGTGGGTCCTGGAGACCCAACTCTGGTTGTCAGGCTTGGTGGCTGGCAACCTTTACCAGAAGACAACACACTGGAGTCTCCATGCCGCACACAAACTGTTTCTAAGCGCTCCAGTAGTATAGCTTAAGCTAACAGGGCAATCTAAATTAGAGGTACGTCAATTAAACAGGGGTAGCCAGGTAACAAATGATGTATTTTCACAGGCACAGAAAGTGCTTTCAGAGCATAGAAAGGACAGCTGATGGTGGCATCGCAGACAGAGTCTTTCATGAAAACAAGATTCTGAGCCCAGTGATGAGCCTGTCTTGCCACTGCTATTGAAACAGAAAAGGAAACATAAGACCATTTATCTTACCTCGTACATTTGTAATTAATGTTTATCTCGAAAACAGAAAAATTCGAATCGCCGACCTTTTTTTAAATGTACTTTATTTATGCAGCTGCATAGTTTTAGATTGAGTATGAGGCATATTTAACTTAAGATTGAACATATTTTAGAAACTACAATTAGCACTATATACAAACCTGAAATTCTCGAAGAAGAGTTGATATGTTGGCTTCATTTGCTAAGTTTGTCAAAATTTCAAGCTACAATAGAGAAAAAAAGAAAGTAAACATTTTAAAACACAAATAAAAAGGTGAATTTAATAGAGACTAAACATGTAATTGAAAGGTGACTTTTTTTTTTAATTACTGTCACATGAGGATCTGTATCCTTGAGGTTGACTTAATCTGTTTCCTCAAGTCTACAGAAACTAGATAATTACATAGTTCTTAAAAAAATAATTAGGAAAAGAATCCCACATCTTCACTAATTGTCTTAATTTTACAATTTACATCTAATTAACCTAAACAATTTGTTAGCTCAACTTTTATTTTTTATTAATAAAGTTAGAAAACAATTTACTCTTCATGTAATACTTCTGTTTCCCAGATACCAATTAATATTCTTGATTGGCTACCTCATATCTTACCTTTCCAGATGCTTAGACAATTTCAATCTCTATTCCTGAATTTATAAATGTAAAAAGTGTGAAATTAAAAATCTACCTCCACTGAGGTTGCTAGAAATATGTTTTACCCATTAAAAAGATTTAATTATTCTGAAGGTGGGCACAAACATATGAGACCAACAGAAAACACAACTCAACATGTCTATCAGCACATTCATATCCAGTATTACATTAAAAGTAAATGAAATAAACAATCCAATTAAAAGGCACAGACTGTAGAAGAAATTCTTTATATATTCTGTGTAAACCTATTTTATCGATTATTTTGCTATATCTGTGGGGAATCTATTCTCTAAAAATATAGCCTGACTAGTCATTTTATTTTGATAAGAATATTGATACAATTTTTTAGTGTAGGAGAGAGATGAAGTCTTCCCAGGCAAGCTTCAAACCTACTATGTAACTAATGACCTAATATTCCTGTCTCTCCCTCTTAAGTCTGGCATTACAGGCCAGCACTACTACATGAGATAGTTATTTAAAAATATTTTTCAAATTTAAAATTGTTATTTATTTTTGGCAGTACTGGGAACTAGGTCTTTGAGCATGCTAATCAAACACCCTTCCGCTGAAACAATGACACCAGTCATTGTTCAGACAACTTTTAAAAAATAGCCTCAAATCCATTTTTTAAATCTATATGTATATTACACAGAACTGTTTTTTACTAAAACTCATAAGGCAGAGTTCCCAAACTAATACAAAATCATCCCCAAATGCTGCTGCTTTTAAATAAGGACAGGTTTGGTAGAATAAGACAAAATCAGGAAATTAACATCAAGGTTTTGTTCCCGCACAACTGTTTTATATGTTTCCGTTTCATTAACTACCTCAGTAGTATGTAAACACAAAGATCCAACTCAATATCAAATACAGCATTTTGTTATTCTCTTTGCTGTAAAAATACCTAGTCCTTCAGTTCATTTTTTACTTGAAATGTTTCATAATTAGAAAGCATGAGTCTGTTGTTGATGTTAAAAATATCATACTGTTTGTGTTTCACCAATTTTCTTGTCAGTAAACCCAGTTTCCACGAGAATAACTTTGTCTCAATATTTAAAGAATGTCTATTCTTTCTCCAGTAGCTTTTAATGTCTGTGACATAGCACACGCTATGCAGAAATGTTCCCTGCCTGGGTATATTTCGAGGCACTTTTTGCTCTGTCTAAGGCCACACTGTCTCACCACCATGCTCTGTAGTGCTCACTGAACTCTATACCACAGGGCTCCTCATCTCTGTGGTGGCAAAGTTGCTTAGTCTACTCCCACAGCTCTCCCTTCAAAACACCCACATACCTACCAACCACAAAAACATTCACAACAGTTATTTTAAATCCTTCCAAATACCATTTTTCACAAAGCTCCCACACAATCAATGCCACCTTTTTTATTTCATATAGGACTCAATTCAAACCTCCATTGTATGTTTAAAGTACAAACTATCAAATTTATCTATGTTTACAACTGTCTCTCTCAGCAGGTGAAATTATCCAAGACACAGGCAACTAATACATTTGAAAGTAACACAATAACCTGCCCATAATAATACAGGTAAAATATGAAGAGCAATTATCAAATAAGTTTAAAAAAAAAAAAAAAGAAGAAGAAAAATACAATTTACAGAGCTAGGGAAATAGCTCAGTTGGCAAAGTACAAACACAAGGATTTGAACTGATCTCCAGCCACATATAAGCTATTGGGCATGTAGCGTGCACTTGTATTCTTAGCTGGGAACAGAGGCAGGACTCCTGGCCTTCACTTGACAGCCTTCCTTACCTATGTAGATAGTTCCATTCCACTTAGAGAACTTGTCTGGGGAGAGGAGAGAGACTGAGAAGGAGAAAGAGAGAGGGAGAGGAGAGAATGAGAGAGAGGGGGCGAGAGAGGGAGGGGGAGGGAGAGGAAGGGCGAGAGGGAGAGGGGGGAGAAGAGACCCAAAGAATGATACACAAGGTTGTTCTCTGACTTTTGCATGCATGCACACCTGAACATTTATGAACACATAAAAGACCATAGTTTAAAGATGCTAGAAGCTACCGCAACATCTTTTCAAAGAACACAGCTGCTAGATAACCTGTATGAAGCATACGTACCTTCAGTGTCTTGATCATAGTTGGATCAGTGGACCTGACATAGAAACTCTTCAGGTAAGGTTCAAACATACCCTAGGTCAACAAAAAGAAATGTGTTAGTACATTTATCAGATAAGCAGTGTGCTTATCTGCTTCTTTGATTTAAATGCTCACAATATACATACCTTTCTCTGAATTGACATAGTTGCAATGTTTTGTAAAACAATATACTGCACCTCCCTAGAAGTTAAAAGAAATTTTAATAGGTATATCCAATGAAACATCTTTGAGAAAGCAATACTTTGAAAAGAATCTGTAAGAAATCTCAGTGTAAACAAAATTCTTAAATACAATACTCTAAATTTTTAGTAAATATAAAGAATTTGTCTTCTTTCCAATGCATTTTTACTCCAGGATACTAAAAACTTATGTGTGATAGATTTATCATAAGATAGAGTTAGAACTAATTTTGTGATATTGTACCTCTAAAATACAAGGCCAATATTGTTGCTTTCACACATGCAGGAAAATGAATGGAGGAAATGTAATCATAGTACTAACCCAAATTCTTATCAGAGGGCTCACAGTGTCATTCAATCATAAATCAAAATGAAGGCCTGGTTAAAAAGTCACATTATGATATCCCTAAGTCCTAATATCTAATAAAGGAACAGAATCTGACATTAAATTCACATCAATCTGGTAAGGACCTTACATCAAAGAAGAATTCCAGATTTTTCTAGTGGCATGTGAACTATCCATTGAAAAAACTATTACTGAGCTGGTAACAAAGAATGATTAGAGATAAAGTGAAGGAAAGCATCACTGAATGAAACTGGTTCTGACTGTTTCTCAAACAGCAGTAGATGAGCAAGGGCTGGGACTGTGGACCCCTAGGAGTTAGGAGAAAATCAGCAAACACCTTCCCATCCCAGCTAGTGCAGGTGTGCCCTAAAGGAAAGAAAACAATTAACTCAAACAGATAGCAGTGTAAAATGCCTAGGAAGCACTGAACAACAGAACAATGAATGATGTTTGTAAACAAAATAAAATTCTAATGCTAACTTGAAAATTCTAATGAAAGAAAACATCATGGCAACTCTTTTTAATTCTTTTGTTTGTTTGAAATCCTGATCTGAACTACTGAATTATAAAGAGGGAAATTTTAAAAGGTGGCATGTTCCATCTATCCATATAGGAAACTTGAGAGCACAGGGCTCTTTAAATGGAGAAGTTATTTTCTAGTAGCTACTCGTGGGGGGTAAGGAAATGACTTAGCAGATAGGAGGGCTTGCTGTGCAAACAGGAAGGCTGTTCAAAACCCCAGCACGCATATAACAAGCTGGGAGTGACACCTGTGAACTTAACTACAGCCCTGTGAAGGGTAAGGCAGGAGGCTGCTGGAGCTTGCCAGCCACCAGCACACCAAGGGAATCCAGCATAAAGTCAGAGTAGAAGACCAGTCACCCTCCTCTGGTCACCATGTGCCCCAGAGACACACATGTACGCATAAATCACACATATACAGCCCTATTAACACACATGCATACACCACTGCTCACAAATGTACACACAAAAATATATAGCTCTTTTTAAAACAGAAGAATAGTTCAATTTTATATGAAGTAGGGTTCTGCCACAGGCAAAGTGACAGTCTCTGCATTATTCTAAGGAATGGTTCTCAACCTGTGGGGCCAAACAACCCTTTCAGAGGGATCGCCTAAGATTATTGGAAAACACAGATATTTACACTGAGATTCGTAACAGTAGCAAAATTAGTTATGAAGTATCAAGGAAGTTTTATGGTTCGGGTCACCACAGCATGAGGAACAGCATTAAAGGGTCAAAGTATCGGGAAGGTAAGAAGCACTGCTCTATGATAAGCTCTAACACATTAAACAGCAAGCTAAGAACACTTCAGGCAAGTTTTCAGTGATTCCAGAATAATTAAAACTTCAAAACTGCAATACTGCCATACCAGCAAAGCAAAATGCATGCTCTATGTCACAACATACTTTAATCTCTCTGGACTTGAAGCTAAAAACTTTCTTTTTTTTTTTTCATTATGATTGAGAGCATTTTATAATAGCCCATTAAGTATAAGACCTTATTTATGAAATAGTCACCTCTATATTCCAGGCTTAGGAGATGGACTACATTTGCTCCAACATTACTTCTGAGAGAATACAAAACAAAAGCACACGGAAAACCATGACCTACCTATTGCTACGAAGTAAGCGCACCAGGGATTTAGAAATCACGCCAGCCTCTGACTTGGGTGAAATATGCCAATATAGCTGAGCAACAGCCATAACCACCTGGAAGGACAGAGGCAAGAGGCACAGTGAGCATCTAAGCAATGGTGTCAAAATGCATCCTCACACTGAGTCTGTTTCCTTTAAACAATCTTCAGAATTCCTGTGGAGTACAAGGAAATGTCCAAGTCTTTGTAGGGGGTTGCAGTTGCTTCCTTAAATACTTCTTATCTTCATACAGTGCTTGTATTTGAGAGCACCATGTTAGGTGGTATCATTAAGGATGTTAGCAGGCATCAGACATGACCGTATGGAGTAGAGGGGGCCCGAAATATGGAATGTGTCCTTACAAAAGACAGAAAAACAATGTCAAGATGAAAGCAGAGAAGCAAGTGATTTATGTGGAAGCCAAGAAATGCAAAGATCATCCGCAACCACCTTCACATAAGGAAAGAGAGGGTGCTTTCCTCAGATCCTCAAGAGGAATTCAGATTCAGCGTATTTACACATGACTTCGGTCTGAAATATAATAAATTCCTGTCCTTTTCATCCACCTAGATTATGGCAATTTCTGAGGTGAACATGATAACCACTGCACTACGGAAACACTTTTGATTGTGATAATTTGTATAGCAGTAACAGGAAACTAGCACATCCTTTGAAAAGAAAATGACATAAATGAACTGACCATGGTGATAACAGTCCTGGACCAAAACAAACAAACAAAAACACTGCATATGCTCCATCTGAGAGCTGCTGCTCGGTCACACAGAAGTTCTAAAGAGGGGCAAACACAACTTCTAAACCATGCCAGACACTGGGGGTGGGGGTGGGGGTGAGAGTGGGAAGAAGTGGAGGAGGTTAACAGCAACAAGCTGTCTGAAATAAAGGGAAGTGATTGAAAATGTAATAATAAATAACAAGATGTTTGCAGTGCTCTAACATTTTAAGATGCACAACTTTAAAGCTAATCTCACAGAAGTCCTCAGCCATGGTAAGGGTACTATGTTTGTTTCTCTCACATGCCTCTACATTCAGATTCAAGACTCCTCACCACCAAAGTATCTAGGTCAGCATGTGGACTCCAGAGACACAGTGCCCAAATGGTTCAGAAGACAAATGACTATTAATTTAGTTCTGCTCAGTCCACCAAGTTCAAAACAGTATGCAGCAAGAGTTTAAGGCATACCTAGATAACACACCACACACCAAGGTGCTTGAGCTAAAGACGCTCTTTATAAACTAAAAATCATCTTTAAAAAACTAAATATACTGTTCTTTGTAATATTTAAAAAAATAGTAAGTTGGCTTTATGGCTTTCAGATAGAGCATGGGAATTCAAGAACAACAACAACTCATTTCCTCACTTGGGCTCTTAAAGTATAAGATATTCAAACCCATATTCAAGAATATAAACTGTATTTTCTGTGCCAAGACACAGCTTTCACTTGGAATGTCATCATATATTAGTCAATCTACTCCCAAATGCAAAAGAACTAAATGACTTCCTTTTTGCCTCATTATAAAAACAATAGCTTAAGGTTTCTTTGACACCACATCTGAAATCCGAAGGCCAATTTATAAAAAGCCACGAGGGGAGACTCTCACAACTCCAAATTCCAGACTGGAGAATTCAAGCCACAGGCCAGTACACCACACCTGCTCATAATTAAAGCACCCCACACTTCACACTCTTCTTAACATCTATGTCACCATCCCCATAGTCTCCTGCTTCTGGCTTTACCTCCAATGCAGTCACTAACCTGATCCAACAAGCTTTCTGAAACAAATTCCCAAAATTCCCTTTCAAACTTAAGAACAAGTATGTGTTTTTTGTTTTGTTTTGTTTTGTTTTTGTTTCTTTTTTGAGACAGGATTTCTCTGTGTAGCCTTAGCTATCCTGGAACTCCCTATGTAGATGAGATTGGCCTTGAACTCACAGAGATCTGAGTGCCTCTACTTCCAAAGTGCTGGGATTAAATTGAAGGCATGTACCACCACTGCTCTACTATGTTTCTTTGTTTTGACACAGGGTCTCACTATGTAGTCTCAGCTAGCCTGAAACTCCCTATGTACTCCAGGATGGCATCCAACTCATAAAAATCCACCTGTCTCTACTTCCTAAATGCTTGAAATTTAACTATGCCTAGCAAAAATAAGATTATTGTATTTTAATCTCCATAATTCTCCAAAAGTCAGGCTTCATTTAAATTTATACAAAGCAAGGTAACACAATTTACTCAGAACCATGGCAGCCTGGTGTATTAGCAAATAAGCAGGGACCCCAAATATGCACAGAAACAACCATTACCTGGCACTGTCAGCAAGCATCTGAATCAAAAAACCAGCTCCCAAGACAAAATGAAGCTAAGTGAGTTAATAATACTTTTAGTTGGTACGTTGCCGCTAATAGGTAGACTAGGTACACTAAAATGTAAGTATGTATTTGACAGTATTAATGAATTCACATTTTACTATGACTGGGCTCTTGAATGATGACTTGGGATCACATTACTAGTAGTAACATATAAACTTCTGCTAATTGCTAAGTATACAAACCTCTAAAGGCTAAATTCTCAAACAAGTATAGAAAAAAAGTAGTAAGTGAAGTTCCTTATATTTGAAGATTTACTAAATGAAGAAAATAATTCATTATTTTCTTAATTAAAACAAATCTGGGTATATAACTTCAATCTATCTAGCCTTTAACTATAAGTACCAGCAAAAAAAACAAAACAAAAATAAACAAACAAACAAACAAAAAAACAGTAACTTCAATGACACTTAAAGGCAGTGGTCATGTGTGGAAAGCTGCGACGCGACGCTACTTAAAGATGGTGCCAGTTTCCGCCTTCCACCATCCCGAGGGTGAGCCCTCTCTGGAATAAACAACTCCTTATTTGGCTTGGTCTAAGATTCAAACTTGCATCAGCAAATGCGAGCCTATCCGCCTTAGCCACGTGGCGTTCTGGGGTTGGCTGGCAAGAGTGCTTTTAAGCTGTGGGCTGGCTTTCCCCGGGGTCAGAAGATTGTTTAAGGTTCCTGAGTAAACTGCTTAAGGAAGAGTCTCAGCATTGCGTCTTCCTTGCTGGTCGAGGCGGTCGAGACAGTCATAGGCTAGAGCAACGGTTCAGTGGATAAGGCACTTATTGTTCTTGCAGAGGATGGTGGCTCACACCATCTACAACTCCAGTTCCTGAGGATTCGACACCCTCTTCTCACTTATGTGGGTGTGCAGGCATGCAAGTGGTGCACATCATATACACAAACACAAAAATAAACAACTAAATCTTTAAAAAGAAAAGAAACCAATCAAACAAACCCAGAAGGGCATTCTGCAAATAACTCTAAAACTCCATAAAATATAACTTCTTTTGGTTAGTATTAATATATACATACTAGCATTTGTGAATATATTTATACAGATAAAAAAGATCTAGAATAAATGCACTAAGGCATAATACTGTGTCTTGAGTAGGGAGATAGAGACATTATAATGTGTTACCTGGTTTTCCTGGTCTATATTTCTAAGTATGTATTTGTCTAAAGTTTAAGATTATTTAAAACAGAAGATATCAAACTAATAAGCAAAAGTCTGAGAGACCCAAAGATAGATGATTTTTAATTACTAACAATTCCAATTAAACTTATTACCATGAGGCGTCTGACACCAGTGCTGCAGGCCTTAGACATGGAAGGTATGCATCCCATCACTGAGCTACACGCCCAGTCAATGTTACTTATGATAGTCTCTTAAGAACTTCACCAGCAGACTTAATAATAAGGAATACCATCACATCTGCTATTCTCAGCTATGATAGCAAACCTGAGAGACACAGCTACATCCTTACATAAGGCCTGATATACACCAATCAGCTCACAAAGTGAGCTCAGTCTTTGAACAAGCCAATTAACCAGAAAAAGCAAAGGAGTCCATTGGACTAACAAGCTAGGCATTCTCATCAAACCCTCATTTTGCATGCCTAGAAACAAAGACTAAAAATGATTTAGAGTAGACTTGGATCTCTAAAGCTTTATCTTATACCCCACACATTTCAAGCTACCCATCACGTGTGTCTGCTATATGAACACATCAGTCCCACACTCAGTATTGACTGCACATACTTCCAAACATTGTTTGGTTTTTAAATCTGAGAAACGGTTCTTTTTTTCCTAGTCTCAACGTACCGCTGCATTCCTGCTCTGAAGCAAAGGCTTTGTGTTTCTAATTAAGAGTCTGTGGTCTGGATCCATAGTATATGGCCTCTTCTTGTCACTCTTTTCCTTCTCTTCATCATCTGATTCATAGAAATTCTTTTCGTTGTCTTCTAGACCATCATCCTGTGAAGAAAACAATCCAACCCCAAGATTAGTTGAGACTCTGAACAGCCAAGACATTACACAGCCAAAGAAACTTTTCCCTTGAAAACATCTACAGTAAGAGGCTGGAGAGATGGCTCAATCCAGAAAGTTCCTGTCTTGTAAGCATAAGGACCCAAGTTCTATCCCCAGTACCCATATAAGAAGCTGGACATGGTGACACGCACTTGTAATCCCAGCACTGAAGAAAGAAAGTCACCCCTGGGGATCACAGGCCAGCCACCCATGGAGGACCATCTTAAAATAAGAAAAAGTAGCCATCTCCTACAAAATGCCACAGAAAGTTGACTTCTTTGCACACACACAAATAAAATTTTTAAATGACAATAATACTTTCCTGCTATTGGGTCAGTTTAAAACATTGTATAATCAACATGAAAAGGTTGATTATTCTCATAATAATACACAATACTGCTATTATACATAGCAAATTTCCACAGAAATTCTGACAGTTGCTCAAAGAGAAAAAAATGATGATTAGACTTAGTAAGACATATAATGAGAATAACTGAGAGCTGGGAGCTATTTGCACAACTTGCAGTCATTCCAGCTTGATCAAAGAGTAAGATGAGGGGGAATGCTGTGAACTTAAAGTTTGACTGCTAACAACTGGTCAAGAGAAAGGCTCTAGGCTTCTGTTTGCCAGTAGACACTTGGTCCCTACACAAACATACAAATACACAGTAATACTCATGTACTTTCAAGTACAATTTTGAGCTCACATTTTTTAACCAAGAAATATACAATACCTCCCTTATCATCAGTTTGTTTTTACTTTTTTGTTTTAGTTATCTGAGTCATCTGAGATCCAAAAATATAGAGCAGAAGATTCCAGAAATAAAAAAAATTGTTAAGTTTTGAATTAGGAAGTATTCTTAGTAGCAGTGTGTTTCATGCTTTCTGTGGTTTCACACATGCACAGCTGGAGAGTGGGGGTGAGGTAGGGATGGAGGAGGCTTTCAGTCCTTTTTTTTTTTTGTTTTTAGAGACACGGTTTCTCTGTGTAATTTAAAGCCTATGCTGGCACTCACTTTGTAGACTAGGCTGGCCTTGAACTCACAGAGATCCACCTGCCTCTGCCTCCCAAGTGCTGGGATTAAAGGCTTGTTCCACAAGGGCTGAGGCTGTCAGTCTTGGAACAAATTCCTGTCAGGTGAGGTGAGGTTCCTCAACAACAAGGGTACATGGGACATAGGGATGAATCATATCCCAGGTGGGAACAGAAGTAAACACGGAACTTGAATCCCAAACTTTAACAATAAATAAATTGATTGAATGTAAATAAATACATCAATTAAAAGACCACTCCAGCAGATTAGATTAAAACACATAACCCAACTGTATTCTGCCACACTGAAGGCACAGGTGAACTGAAACTTTTAAGAAACTAAAAAATAAATGTAACAGTGTTAGTCAAGAGGGGTGGCTGTAGACAGGTGGTGGTGGCTCACGCCTCTAATCCTAGCACTTGGGAGGCAGAAGCAGGTAGATCTCAGTGAGTTCGAGGCCAGCCTGGTCTACAGAGTTCCAGGATAGCCAGGACTACACAGAGAAATCCTGTCTGGAAAACAACAAAATTAAAAGGGGTGGTGCCTGTAAATGTATCACCCTCACATAGTCACTTCAGAGCAGATAAAACTGCTATAGGAAGACACTATACATCCACAAAATGGCTAATTTCTTAAGTTATCTCTAGGGAGCCCAAGATGGCCTTATTCATAATCCTCCTGGCTCAGTCTCCCGATTGCTTCATATGTAACATTCATGAAATGATGAAATTATAGAAATGGAGACAAACCAATGGTTAGCGTTTTGGGTTACAGTTGTTATGCTAAGCACTACAAATATCAACAGGAAATGGAACTCCTGAAACTTCTGTTTCATTATCCTGTTCATAGTATTAACTTACTGTTTTACAAATAGTGACTATTGGTGAAACTAGGTAAAGGGACACCAGAGCTCTGTAGTTTTTTTTTAGATTTATATATTTTTATTTTACGTGCATTGGTGTTTTGCCTGCATATATGTCTGTGAAGGTGACAGACCACCGGGAATCAGAACTGCAGACAGTTGTGGGCTCCCATGTGGATGGTGGGAATTAAACCCAGGTTCTCTGGAAGATCAGCCAGTGCTCTTAACCACTGAGCCAGCACCCTAAATTAATTCTTACAATTGCATGTGAGTTTCAATTCTTAAAATAAAAATTTAAATAATTGAAATTAAGGGGATAAAAGCACTAACTCACTTAAAAGCAATTCCTATATGTTATATTGTAACAATAAATGAAGTCCCCCCCCAAAAGCTAATATCACTTAATAAAATATTTTTCATTTGCAAGAGTTTCCACAAGTACTTAACAGGAAGACATAGTCTTTAATCTTGCACAAATACCACTGGAAAGACACCTCTCATCAAAAGCAAGTTTTAGGGATTATAACAACAGCAGCTTATGGGTTGTTAAATCTAAAAACAAAACCAAAAAGAAATTATACAAATTATCTAAACATGGAGCTGGAGAGATGGCTCCAAGCTTAAGAGTGCTTATTCCAGTTCAGTTCCCAACACTGGAGACAGGGATTTACAACCACCTGTAACTCCAGCTCCCGGATATCTAATGTCTTCTTCTGACCATATGAGCACCTGCACGCGTGTGTACATACCCACACATGGATACACACACACAAATAAAAACAAATCTTTAAAGAATGGAAGAAAGACCTCAAAGAGGTTGGAGATATAGCTCAGTGGGTAGGGGGCACGCCTAGCATGTGGGTTGGACCCCACCACAACATAAACTGGATTTGCTGGCATACCACAGGAATCCCAGCACTGGGGAGGTAGAGGCAGGAGGACTGAAGTTCAAGTCACCCTCACCTACTCAATGAGTTTGGGGTCAGACAGGGTTACATGAAACACTGCCTCAAAAAACAAACATGCAACAGAAATAATTTATTGAAAACAATTTAAAAAAATAATGTAATATCCATCTTCAAAACTAAACTAGAAATTATCTAGGTACAAGCATTAAATGTTGTCTGAGAAACATAGGATTGAAAATTCCAGGCAAGCAAGGGTCTACATAGGGAGACTAGACCTAAGGCAATATTGATAAATTAAGTAATTAATCAATAAAATTTAAATTAGAGCTTATTTGCTTCACTTAAACAAACTGCTTTCTCTTAGTTTTTACAGAGGACTACTGTAAGTGAGACACATATTCATAGCAAGGTCAGAAGTGGCTGCCCCTTTACTGAGCTCCAGGCCAAAGTGATTCTATTACATGCATTAGGAAACCAAGAAATGCTATGTAAATAATCAAGTGTGAAACACTATTACTATAGTTCAATTATTATGGCTGGACTATAAGCAGCACTAGTTGCAAACCTTAAATCATAATTAATCAAACATGTTTAAACTCTATCTGAAAATAATACATAATAAAAATGCCTTTTCAAACTTAAACTATAAAACATAAAAACTATAGCTAACAATAAAATCCTAAAATGCTGCTTTTAATAAGCAATTATTTGTTCTGTTTCTTCTTCATTACTAATTAATATATTTTATTAGAGTTTGATTATATTATTTTAATGGAGAACATATTTTAATACAATTTTTACTAAAAAAAATAGGATTGTGGTAGTAATTTTAGTCAAAAGATTTCAAGAGAGTAATTTTCTTTCATTACTATTTTCCCACACAAGAGTCAAAGATGTTAGTTATATAAAAATTTTCTACAAATTCTTACTTATATCATCTTTTATAGTTTCCTAAAATAGAAGGGAGAACTTGAAATAACATTTATATGTGGCCCAGAAAAGCCAAAAAGTTAAATATCTCTACTTTAAAGTTTTAATAAGAGACAATAAGATTTAAAAAAAAGAAAACATGCTGCCTTGTAGATAAAACAACTGATACCAAGAACTTATTAAAGACATATTCACCTCAAAAACTCTATTATGTCTTCACAAATTTTCAATTTGGTTCTTTCTTTTCTCTTATTTTCATCTTGTGGAGACAGAGATGTCCTATGGATATTACACTGACCAAAACCTGGCAGTCCTGCTTCAGGTCCCTGAGAGTTAGGATTACTAATGTGCACCACCATGCCTAGGTCTTGGGACATTTTGCATCTGACTGCATGTATGTGTACCAACTACCTATGGCTCTCTGTTCCACCCAAATGATGGGAGAGAGGACCTAGAGAAATGAAAAAGTTGGTATCATGAAGCTACATCAACATGACGAGGCAGGAACCAATCACCAATAACAACTTTAAATCTGAATTGACTGCCAATATGTCTTGAGATTTTTAACTAGAAAACAGACAGTGGCTCAAACAAAATGGATAGCAAATACATATGGCCTGCATGGGTGTACAAGGACAGGTCCAGTGTCAGTGCTGGAGCATTACCAACCTTTCAGTGTAGATGTGTATTAGAAAACTTTTATGGAGATTCAGTTCATTTAGTGAAGCTTATCCAAGTGTTCAATCCCCAGAACAAATTCAACACTGAGAAGATGCCCACCTATGACCCAAGAAGCAGAGACTCCAGTATCCAGAGCCGTGGAGAGCATGTAGAGTGCATCTGCTATATCAGCCTGCACTGAGTAGACCATAAAATAAATACAGTTCATATGCTAAAGGAGTTAAGGGGTAAAACAATTTTCATAGAAACATCATGCTTAATTTTATGCCATTTTTATATAAAGGGCAATAATATTGGCAATCAATTACAGAGTTAATTAAATTTGTCAATCTTTTAAAAAAAAATCAACTTGACTGACTATACTTTGTGACACTGTTGACCCACCCAATAGGGGAAGATTCCTGCTATCTTAAAGATAATAAATAACATACTTAACTGAGTAAGTGGAGGTTCAAAGTTCTCATACCTTTGACACCACTGAAGAGTTGAAAGACAGTCATCCTTTGTTAAAAGTTATGTGAGTAGAATGAA